TTAAGTAAGAGTTCTTCATTGCCTAACATATTTTGTTTGTTTGTTTTGATTTTGCTTTTTTGGGGGGTCATACCTGGAGATGCACAGAGGTTACTCCTGGCTTTGCACTCAGGAATTACCCCTGGTGGTTCTCAGGGGACCATATGGGATGTTGGGAATTGAACCCGGGTTGACCACTTTCAAGTGAATTGAACCCGGGATGACCATTTGCAAGGCAAATGCCCTACCCGCTGTGCTATTGCTCCAGCCCCTGCCTAACATATTTATAGACTGCAGATATCACTGTAAAGCATAAGATAGCTAATATCTATTTCCAGGAGAAAATATATCATGATAAAAAAGTGTTATATTTATTAAATAAGAAATACAAAAATAATTGTGAACTGGAGAGATCATACAAAGGGTTGGTGCTTTCCTTGAACACAGCCAGCCCAGACTCAATTCATAGAACCCCATTCAGTCCTCTAAGACCTGCCAGGAGCAATCCCTGAGCATAAACCCGGGAGTAAGCCCTGAGTACAGTCAGATATGGCCCAAAATAAAGTAAATAATAAATCAAGTAAATAAAGTAAATAATAAAATAAATAATAATCAGTTACCAAAATATGTGGTTTAGTTTCTCATGGAATGTTTATTATCTATTTTGAAATAAAAATGTAACATAGTAAACAATATTTTAACGGCAAAATTCCTGAACAATGATGGGATAAAATATTTTGTGTACAATCTGAAAATTCACACCATCCTCGGTGATTCACTCACTGTTCTACACATCTCCACTTTTCCTGGCTCACTATCCTAAAGACCACTTGCACTGACCAGCATTCTCTGCCAAGTCAATGCCTTCATGTCCTAGACAGTCTAGAAAGTCTTCATTCAGGCCAGCTGCTTTCTAATGCAGCCAGAGTGAATCTGAAACACAAAAAGCAGATCATCTAGCTAGCTCCTTGGCACACAATACTCCATGGCACCGCATGGATGGTACCCAGAGCACAGACCTGAGAATCACAATGGGCAAAGCTCACTCATGCTTACCTCTATCCCACTATCTGTCTCAGCCGTCCGGTCTTCTCCTCACTCCAAACTGTGAGGTTCATTTAGGCTGCCTCGACCTTTTAACTGGTTCTCTGCCCCAGTCATCACCGGGTCTCTGTGTCTCACAGAGGTCTTCCTGACCACCTCTATCAGACAACACCTTGCCCATCCTCCACTCCCCCACGCTAGCTCTCAACATGCTTTACTTTCTCAATAGTACTTACAGTTTCAAACACCGTCTGACTACCATCAGGAAAGATTCCTATTAGACAGATCCCCCATGCTTATGGGGATATAGCCATTTGGTTGGCCACTGACGTCAGGAGAAACTAGTATAGAGTGAGCATGCTGATGATCTCTCCCTTCCCTGAATGTACATAAAACTGGCTGTTCTTAGAGTTATACAGAGTTGTCCTCGATTGCTCTCCACTTGCTGCATATACTTAGTAAAGTGTCTTCTATTTACACTGCACCCTGGAAGGGAAAGCACCTAGCAAATTTTAATAACATAAATGAGGATTTAAGCTTGACACTTTGGTTTGGATTTCCCATTTTTTGCTCTCCCTTAGAAAAAGGCCAAAGTTGTTTGTACCATCACAACAAAACAGCAGCTATTATTTCACATATATTTCTCAAATGATTTAATAAATCCTCCCGTTGTTCATTGATTTGCTCAAGCGGGCCCAGTAAGTCTATTTAAAACAATCCATTGGGGCTGGAGTGATGGCACAGTGGTAGGGCGTTTGCCTTGCACGCGGCCAAGCCGGGTTCGATTCCCAGAATCCCATATGGTCCCCCAGCATTGCCAGGGATAATTCCTGAGTGCAGAGCCAGGAGGAACCGCTGAGCATCGCCGGGTGTGACCCAAAGAGCAAAAAAGAAAAAAAAATAAAACAATCCATTAAAAAAGGAGGAAAGAAAACCTGTCAGGAGCAATACTGTTCTTTGACAAAGTTTAAGCATTCCTTTTAAATAAAAATTTCCAGTAACCTGGTTCCAAGCAGCCTTATACTGGCCCTTTGTTACATGAGTAGACCAATGAATGAATTAAATTCAAATATTGATTTTTAAAACCTTGTTTACATTATCATTAACTCCCAACCACCATTAGCAAATAACTAATAAAGTCAAACAAAGCATTCTATAACAAAGTATCTGCTGTACTCAAAAGTCTGAACTTTAAGGTCTCATATATCATAACAGAATTCCAAAGTATCTGCATTTATTCACTGAATAATTAACACCAGGAACTAGGATAAGACAATGTTCTAGACACTGTGATTTGTACATTTTAGACCCCATTCACAATGCTCATGTTACAGTAATTAAACAACTACAATAATGATCATATTGTAACAAACATTTGGCCAGACTAGTGACCTTGCCAATTAAGTCCTTTGAAAGGTGCAGCAATTTAAAGCAAAGGCAACTTCGCTTGACAATTATAAAATTAAAATGCTCCAGGAAGTTTGGCAATTTATTCAGTGGGTAAAAACTCTTTCAAACACTAAGTTGCAGCATATAATCACCTTCAAATTACATAACATCTATCATATAACAAAAAGACTACCTTCCACTTTACAAGTTTTTCTGGTGCCAACAAAAACTGTTTAACCAAAGTTATTTTCCCAGAGACATGCTATTTCTTTTTATTATTTAATAGTAATAGTTCTTTAGAAGTTTTTAATTGATATAAAAATGCTTACAATTAAAACATGGATTAATTGAAAGCTTTCTGGCTTTATTTGTCTGTTTTGCCTCCCAATCAGAGCTTTAGTACCCTGGGAGTCAGTCTCCCTATACTAGGCCTGGATGTGCTGGAAGAAGGCTTCATGCCTGGACACAATGATGCGGTGTTGCTTGGGCCCCCTACAAGCTAGGGACCACCACGGCAATACCCTGCCATGCTGGGGAACCATGGGCTGCCAGGGAACAAAGTCAAAGCCCCTGCACTCAAGGCATTCACTCCAGTTCAAGTGACCTTCCCTTCAAGTGCTCTCATGAACACTAGTAAACATGCTCCACCTTTTGAACAGGTCAGATGGAACGTCGACATAACAATAACCCAAGCATAGAGCAAATATAATAAACCCAGCAATGCAAAATAAAATTATTTTGAAAGGATTTAACTTCATGGTCTAAGGAGTGAAAAATGTCCTGCAGGAATATAAATTTGCAGATGAGAGAACCGCTGCCATTGTCCATAAAATACCTAATTCTCCGGCTAGAGATATGTGTTTGCCTTTCAAGCGGCCAACAAAGGTTTTATCCCTGACATCACATATGGTCCCCAGAAACCTTCCAGGAATAAGCTCTGAGCACCAGTAGGTGTGGTCCCCAAACAAAATACCTAGTTATGCAGAAAACTTCCTCCCAATCCCCACTTTCCCAAGACTTGCAGGACCTCAACTAGTGCGAGGATTTAATGAGACTCATGGACAAACCCACAGACCTGGCACTACAGCATCTGATTAAACATTTCTTTCAACAAAAGCATATTTTAGGAAATAAATACAAAATGGTAGTTATATGACTTTATACAGGTGGAAGCATTTTACATAAATATACTGAAAATATGCTGCCTTTACTATAAGCCGTAAAGTAAGATTTTCTAGATATCCTTCCCTCAAAGAGAATTCTAAAAACCACACAACTGCTATTGCCACTTTTCAATGCCAGTTTTGTTAGAATTTGCGCCAATCCTTAAGCAACTGAAGTCTAAATTATAAGACATGGGAGGAAGCAGGAGCCATAAAATAAAACTTCAAAGTACTCAATGTTTACACGTGGTTACCAACACAAATGATAATTTACATAATAAAAATGCTGGATTAGTCACTCTCAAATTCCAGTGATGAAGGATTGTGAATAGGAGGAAAAATACTACACATCCAACAAACACAGTATTTCTTCCTGTCACTCTTCTTTCTGCAAACTTGTTGAAGGACAGTGTTTCCATTTGAGTTAGCTCCTGTCCTAGCAGGTTTTACAAGGTTGAAAGACATGCAGCTGTGGTAAGCCAAAGCCAGTTCTTGCTGCATCCTTTCATCTCTCAAAAGATTCCATTTTCTTCTTGGAATATGGCATGATCTTCAATATAGAAGACATGGCAACTCTATGTGTTAGCTCTTTCATACATAGAAACTTAATAGAATTTGTGTTTAGATCTTGTCAGAGTTTTAGACTTCTGGAAAATCTACCCAGACTTATAAACAACAATGTAAATCATATAGGCCAAGTCTGCAGGATTCCAAATATCTGTGCATGCAAGGACAAAGATCTTGCTTGCTCTTCATCAACCCGTAAGTGCAGAATGGTATTTCTTGGTTAGAGGCTCTTCACCAACAGCCAAATCAATCAAAATAACGCGCAATGTGAGGGGCATCTGTTCAAAGATCTTTGGAAGTGTCAAAGGGCATAAAAGTCCGTATTTAAAATGGGAGAATAGCGACCACAAAACAGTGCTAGGAAAGGATAAAGAACTGAATAAATACTTAATGAACGCCACTAGGGGGTGCGCGCCAAAGACTCTTCAGTCTGAAGACCACGGAGTGCAAAAACTCTACCTGAACGAACCACTCCTTGTACAGAAAGGGCAAGCAAGCAGTATGGGGGGGGGGGGGGGGGGAGGGGAGTCCCGATGATGAAGGTTTTTTATGACCGTTTAGTCGGCCAGCAATTCCGATGCACTTTTTTTTTTCTCCCTAGGGACTCAATAACAAAGTCAGGGCAAGTACGTCACCTCACCTGCTCGTCTGCCCCCAAGCAAGTAAACAAGGTTTTGCCTGACCTCTGGGCCCTGAAACCTGGGGACAAGCAGGGCTCGAGGAGCCGAGTGGCTGCAACTCGCCTCCCCTCGCACCCGGAACTAAGCCCCGAGGAGCCCCGCCGAGTCCTGGGAGATAGGTGGGGTGCTCCTGGGACAGCCTCCCCCGCACCTCACCTCCCGGTCCCGGCCCACTTACTGTTGCTGGACTTGAGGTCCCGGTGCAGGATGGACACGAAGGCTTCCTCGTGCAGGTAGAGCATGCCCCGCGCGATCTGCACCGCCCAGTTGACCAGCACGTGCGGGGGGATGCGGCGCGCCCCGCGCGGGCCGGGCGTGCGCGGGTCGGGGGCGGCGTTCGCGGCTGCCAGCGCGCGGTTGAGCGCGCCTCCGCGGGCGAACTCGAGCACCAGGCAGAGGTGCGGCTGCCGCAAGCACACGCCGCGCAGCTCGATGATGTTGGGGTGCTGCAGCATGGCGAAGAGCCGGGCTTCCCGCCGCACGCTCTCCGCCGCCGCCGCCGCGTCCTGCTCCGGGTCGCGGCGCGCCGCCTTCACGGCCACCTCCTGGCCCTGCCAGGTGGCGCGATACACCTGCCCGAAGCCGCCCGCGCCGATGAGCTCCTTGAGCTCCAGCCGCTCGAAGTCGACGTGCACTGGCGAGCCGGGCCGCGGGGGCGGCGGCGGCCCGGCGGGGGACGGCGCGGGGCCCGCGGCCGGGCGGCACGGCGCCACGTAGTTGGCGGGGAAGATGCCCAGGCGCCGCTGCACCTGGCCGGCCCACCAGCCCTCGTCGCCGGACACGGCGGCGTCCTGGGACAGCACCTCCACCAGCTGGCCGCGCCGCAGGCTCAGCTCGTCCTCGCCGCGCGCCTCGTAGTCGTAGAGCGCGGCCCAGAGCCCCGCTCCCGAGGCCGAGGCCGAGGCCCCGGACGAGGAGGACGACGACGACGCGGAACCTGCCGAAGCGCGCCGGGACGGGGACACAGGCCGGTCCGCCGCGCCCCCGGCACCCAGCCAGGCCATGGGGAGGGGTGCGCGTGGAGGGCTCGGGCGGAGCGCAGCGCGAGGGGTGGTCAGCCTCCGGGGACGCGCATCGTCGGGCGGGGTCGCAGCCTGCTCCCCCAGCAAGGCAGGGCGGAGCAGTCGGGGCCGGCGAACGGTGAGGGACCGGAGGTCCAGTTCCCGGAGGCCCGGGCCTTACCCCCCGTTCCTCCACACGCGTCCCCGGGGCTGCAGCGGTCCCCGTGGCCGCGGGCGCTGTAGCTCCATGGTGGCGCGCAGGGCCTCCAGCCCGCCGGCGGCACACTCAGCCAGGCGGCGCCTGGACACGCCTCCGCCGCGCCGGGTCCGCCCTCCCCGCCCCCCCTCCCCGGGCCCGCCTCCCACCCTCGGGGCCCGCCCACCGCGCCCGGCCCGCCAGACCCCTCGGTCCTCGCCCGCCCAAGTCCCTAGAGCTCCCCGGCCCGGGTGCGCCGAGCCCACGTGGCCTGGTGGGCGGAGCCAGCCTCGGACAGGCTAGAAGTTGTCGGGAAAGTTTAAATCAACCCTGGACTGAGTTTAGAGGAGTCTGCTGTTATCCCAAAGCGGTGGCGGCGGGTCAGGAGGATCCGGTGCTTAAGGGAGCGACGCGAGGGTGGTCTCGGTCACCGAAGAGTTCCAGAGCATCCCCGAAAAGGTCTCAGGCAGAGCCCAGCGGACTTGGAGCCTACCTGCTGTGGGGTTGCGCTCAGCTGCAATCAGAGCAGCTCAGAACCCGACAGCTTAACTGGTCACCACCCCGGAAGCTCCTGGGCGACTGATAAGCCCACGTTTGTCTTTAGTGTTTACTCAAATGAGAAAAAGACTTGCCTGTCCGTCACCCCAGAGGTTGGGTTTTCCGAAGCATTGACCACGATTCGGTAACTAGAGCCCCTGGTAACTCTGTTCCCAGAAAGGGGCAATTGAGCAAGAGGCTGTGCACAGAAACTCAAGTCCTCGCCTGTAAGCTGGCTGTTCATTTTCTGCACGCAGGATTTTGTGCACCTGAGTATCTTAAGAAGCTCAGCGACCACCTACCTCATTTGCTGTGTGCAGGACCGTAGTTGCTTTTCAACAGCTACAAAGTGAAGCTCCAGGAGACTGGGAAACTTTGGGAAGTGCTTTGGGTTTTCTTAGAGCAACATGCTTTTTTCACTCTATTTTTCCCACTATTTTTTTTTAACCTCTCCCAGGGTTTACTTGGTGAGGAGGGCTATGAAGAGGCATACACTAATGTGGCCTAATGAACTGCACTGCCACTGTGAGACATAACCAGCCAGCCAGAGGCAGTTCCTTCCTTCCTCACAAAATTGGCAACAGTGCCCAAGCCTAGATTCACCAGGGCTTTCTCCTTCAACCTGTTCTTCCTCCCCTCCTCATTTTTAGTTTCTGCCAGGATCATGTGAGGCCAGCCAAAAACCGATCCAAGTACAGACACTCAGAGTCCCTTGCTGTTTTGATGACAATGGGAGAAGAAAATCCAGAGGGTGTGAATATATCTAATTATTCTCTGGGTGCTCACTCTGCATGCTTAAGACACCTTAAGGCACCGTGGGTATAAGACACTAAGCCTTTCCTCCAGAGAATGAGAAAGAATAAAGAAACTTCTACTACAGAAGAATAAATCAAGTGTCCTGGGCTCAAGATGAAGGAGCGATTCATTGTGCCTGGGCTGACTGGAAAATGCTTTGTGATCTGTTACTTGATCTGAGTTTGAGGAGGATTAATTAAAAAAAAAAAAAGGACAAATGGCGTTCCAGGCAGTAAGCAAAAGCACAAGAGTACAAATAGTGGACTCAGGGAACCAAAGGTAGAAGCTAGAAAAAGCAATTTTAGTTTTTTGGTTTGATTTTGGGGGCCTCACATGGCAGTACTCGGGGCTTGCTCCTGGCTCTGTGCTCAAGGATCAATCCTTGAAGGACCATATGGAGTAGTGGAGGTGGAACCCTGGTCTGCATATGCAAGGCATGCACTCTTCCCTCTGTGCTATTGCTCTGGCCCAAGAGAAGACAATTTTTAAAATCCTAAACAAATGATTAATGACCTGCACTAGGTTATTTTCTTTTTTTTAACTTTACCACCATTGAGCTGGACTGATAGCACAGCGGGTAGGGCGTTTGCCTTGCACGCAGCCAACATGGCCAACCCAAGTTTGATTCCTCTGCCCCTCTCGGAGAGCCTGGCAAGCTACCAAGAGTATCTCGCCAGCATGGCAAAGCCTGGCAAGCTACCTGTGACGTATTCGATATGCCAAACACAGTAACACGTCTCACAATGTTACTGGGCCCGCTCGAACAAATCAATGAACAACGGGAGGACATTGGACAGTGATACCACCATTGAGGGCTGGAGCAATAGCACATCCGGTATGGTGTTTGCCTTGCACAAGGCTGACCCGGGTTCGGTTCCTCCGCCCTTCTCAGAGAGCCCAGCAAGCTACCGAGAGTGTCTCAGCCGCATGGCAAAGCCTAGCAAGCTACCCGTGATGTATTCAATATGCCACAAATAGTAACAACAAGTCTCACAATTTGTTGTGAGACATTACTGGTGCCTGCTCGAGCAAATTGATGAACAACGGGAGGACTGTGCTACAGTGCTACCACCAGTGAAAGGAAAGACTTGTTTTCTTGGAAGTTGGGTATGTAGTAACATCACATAATGACATGAATTATCTTTGTAGTTTTCTTTCAGTTCTTCAAATTACACCATAGGTTATTGGTTGTGTGATCTCGCATAAATTTCTTGACTTCTCTGGGTTTCACTTTCCTATCTATAAAATGAGAATAAGAATGAATAGCACCTACTTTGGTGCTATTGGGAGTAGGGAAGACAAAATGAGTCAATAAATGTAAAAGTTGAAACCTTACCTACCATGCAGTACATTTTCAATAAATGTCCCTCATCAATATCCATTTTCAATAAAAAGAGCAATCAGGTCTCTGGTCAACCCTTTGTCAAGGGTAGTTTATAAGTGCTTTGTCTCTAAGATTTGCAGGTATGGTTACCCTCTTTATGGCACACAATACAGATTTTTTCATTTGTTACAATTAAAAAATTCTTGTACAAATAAAACTACAAATAAATTAAGTAAAAATAAATCCATTGCAAAGAAAATTAATTGAAAGCTTACAGTTTTCACATAAATGTGGCAAAAATCAAAAAAGACATAAAGTTATCGGTGAAGTTTAGAAAACCAGCTTTAGAAAGCCTTGATATTTTAGAAAAGCAGTGATGAGATTAAATTTTAAATTGCTTAATGATGATATTAGCAAACATGAAATTTCATTTTTCATTTCATCATCCTGTTAATCGTCGATTGCCTCGAGCAGGCCCCAGTAACGTCTCTTTCATCCTAGCCCTGAGATTATATTCAGGGCTCTTTAGGAGAATGAGACCCATCATTGTTACTGGTATTTGGCATATTTGGTAGGCCACGGGGAGTTTGCCAGACTTTGCCCTGTGGGCAGGCTACATTCGACAGCCTGCAAACATGAAATTAGGTTTGACAAAAGCAAGATGAGAAACAGTGAAACCCATGAGAGTCCACTTTAACAATAAAAGGGAAAATTAAAAGAACATTAACTCATGGTATTGGCCTTGGGAAACAGACAAGTTCCAGAGACAGTATACAGAGAAGTATCAGAAGGACTCTATCCAGAACTCAGAGGTTTAATGGTTACAGAACTTAGACTTGTGTTCTAGGAATATTTTGCTAATAGAATATCAACACTTTACGTTGCATATGGGTCAGCACTCCATAATCAAATACATTAATACTTCTGCTCAAATATAAAAATCCCCACCAAGTGGGATAAAGAAATCATAATAGCAAATTTCATTTTAAAATAAGTTTTGCTTCAAAATGACTTTGGAATAAAATACTGAAGTAAATTATGGTCCTCTGAGCCCACCAGCAGTGATCCCAAAGTGCAGAACCAGGAGCAATCCCTGAGCACCATAGATTGTGGCCCAAAAATAAACAAACAAATTATAAGAGAGTGAAGAGCTTGAGGCACTTGTCTTGCACAGAGCCCACCCAATTCAATTCCTGGCACTGCATATGATTCAAAGTATGGCTAGGATGATCCTTCGTACCTTCAGGTATGGTACAACCCCTCACCAATTTAAAAAAATATATGATTCAGCTATTCTATTTCTGTATCTCTATCTGTAGAAGGTAAAAACATTAGCACACTACCTTACAAGTAGCCCCTGAGAACCACCACATATGGAATCAAAAACACTACTTTTGTGTATATATATGTATATATATATACATATATCTTATCTATATTGTTTATCTGTATCTGTGCAAAAGATTTATGTAGCTGTGTATTAACTGTAGCACTATTTATAGTAGACATGCTATGGGAAATGCTGATGTCCATCAATGGATAAATAGATAAATAAATTGAGGGTTGAAGAGACAGAAAAGGATTATGGCACATGCCTTGCATTCAGCTAAATTCAGTTTGATCCCCAGTAACACATGATCTCCTGAAGTGACTCAGCTAATCCCAGGCACCACAAGGTCTGGGTAGCTCCACATCCTCATGTTATTGCATTGGATCACTGACTCAGTTGGCAGACAATCACCAGGACTCTGGGCTTCCTGAGCACAATTTGGGAGTCCCTCTCCTAAAAAGGAAATTTGTGAGTGTGTGTATGAAATATTTAAATTTGCAATTTAAAAAATTAAGAAATTCTGTCATTTGTGACAAGATAAATAGACCTTACTACATTATGCTAAGTAAAATTGAATGTTTTAAACTACTGTAGTGTGGGGCTAGAGAAATAGTACAGCAGGTAGGGCACTTGCCTTGCATGCAGACAACCCAGGTTTGATCTCCAGCACCCCCTATGATCCCCAGAGCCCCACAAGAGTGATCCCTGAGCAAGGAGTCAAGTAAGCCCTGAGCACTACTGGGTGTGGCTTAAAAAAAAGGAAAACAAAAATAAACAATACCATAGGATCTTATGAAATTTATTATGAAATGGTCTAGTATATGAAATATTTTCTTTTTTGTTTTTGTTTTTGATTTTTGGGTCACACCCAGCTGTGCTCAGTGCTTACTCCTGACTCAGTGATCAGTGATCAGTCCTGATGAGGCTCGGGAAACTATATGGTGTCAGGGATTAAACCTGGGTCGGCTGCATGTAAGGCAAGAGTCTTAACCCCTGTACTATCAATCCAGCCCTACTCTGGTGGGGCTTGAGGAAGTCTATGGGATGCCAGGGATCAAACCCTGGTCAGCAGCATGCAAGGCAAATGACCAACCTTATGTACTATCTTTCCC